AGTAAGTTGCCTGACAAAATAAAAAACCCAGTGGGTTTTTCAATTTTTAAAAGAGACTTAAAATCCTTTTTATTGAAACATTCCTTTTACACGACAAATGAATTCATTAGTTTTAAATAAAAATATGGATGGTGAAAGTACTCATATTTGGATGTCATAGCAAATCATAAGTTGTATACAATGATTTGTGTATTTTTTTTTCTTTTTTCTTTTTCAAATGTAGTATCTACATATTGCTTAGGATTGTAAAATTTTGTTAGTATCCTTGTAACTTTGTAGGTTTGTTTGTTAAGTTGTACTCCTGGATAAATCAATCAGTTAATCAATCAATATAGTTTGTAGTATGCTTGTAACTATGTAGATTTATTTTGTTAACTTATATTACTGAATGACGAGTCCAAATGTTACTATGTAGCAAAACGGATGAAAGTAAAATACAATACAATACAATACAATACAAGTATATCTCTTAAAATAACACAACACCTCTATGATGTTAAGTTTTGTTACGGCAAATATGCCTGAATCTTAGATCAAGAATGTAAGCATTACTCTTGTAGCACAAACAATCAGAAATGTTATGTTAACAATATTTGCAGTTTTGTTTTTAAAGTCTGAAGGGCAGTAATAAAAATGAGCATAGAAACATTGCAGGAGCTGGTGCAGTTCAGTTGCTGTAAGGGTTAATGACTGTCAGAAGAAGATAAAAGTGGCATTTAATGTAATGAAGTGAATTCTGATAGGTTTTTTAAAGTGGGATGAGCAAACATTTATCTCCCATTGCTCACCAAACATTCTAAATATTAAGATAATCATATATGAACTACAGACTTTGGCACTGAAGAAACAAAATATTTGAGTGGTTTGAGGACAGTCTGATCAATTACAAGGATGAAATGAAGTAAGAGAAGAGATAAAACTTGTGCAGTTTTAATACCTATACTTTCAGTGGAGAAGTGAATGGGATGAGTATGTAACCAGGTTAGGTTCGTGGAGTGATGTAGGAACACTCTCATGTAGTCCTGCCTATATAACCTGGCTGCATTCTCACCCTACTGCTACCCTTAACATGGAGCCAGCACATTCCTTCAAAATGTCTCTTTCCACCTACAGGACTGTATGGTGTCACAATCTGATTGACAGATATGCAGGGTAATACCAAATAATGCAGAGAATATAATGCTCCCAGTCAGTTCATTACAACATTGTATGAAAACAACCTGGTATCTGTAAGACTGGAATATGACATCTCTAAATGGAAGAAAATTAATAGCAGCTTGAGATAAAACTGTCTGCCTACTTTTTATCTGTCTGTCTGCCTGTCTCTCTCTCTCATACACACACACACATATTCACATCCTCACTGTCATGCTCACATTACATTACATTGCATTCCATGGATCCAAAGTTAGTCAAAATGACTGTAGGATGTGGAATATGTCATATAAATACAAAACATATGTACAGTCCCAATGCAGTTCTCACACAAGAGAAACCAAGAATACGCAGTGACTACACACAAGGCTATTTAAAGATACACAAGTTATTTTCTAGACAATAGGTATTCATCAGCAGAGTAGAATTAATGCGTATTTAAGTATCATTTCAGTGCTATTTTAAATCGTGCCTTTTCATTCATAAGACCCTTGAGATCAGATGGCAGGTTATTAAGAATGTTGATCCCAGCATAATATACGCTCTTCTGAAAGCGTGAGAGGTTAGCAATTGGTTTATGAATACAGTGTTTGTGTCTTGTGTTAACACTGTGTACATCCGCATTCATCTGAAAATGTTTTTCCTTATTTGTAATGAATTTTATTAATGAAAATATATATATTCACAAGGCAAAGTTAAGATCTGTAGTCTCTTAAATAGATCTCTACAGGAATTAAGGGATTTGACACCCATCATGATTCTAACAATTTTCTTTTGCAATGTGAATACCTTTTTTACTGTCAGATGAATTACCCCAGAAAATTATTCCACACTTCATTAAAGAGTGAAAATAAGCAAAATAGATTGATTTGAGAGTGTCAATGTTACTAATATCTAACATGAATCTAACTGCATAACATGCTCTGCTTAGCTTTGGAATCAATTGATCGATATGGTTCTTCCAGTTTCAATGATTATCAATTTGCAAGCCAAGAAATTTTGTGTTCACTCCCTCGTCTATATGTTTATCATTATCTCCTATGTTTAATGTATATTGTGGTGAGTTTATTGTTATAAATTTTATTACATTAGTTTTTTCTAGGTTCAGGGACAGCTTGTTTGCAGAAAACCATTTACTCATTTGCGAAAGAACCTTGCTTGATAACATGCAGCAATCATCTAAATTTTTACCAGAAATTTACACTAGTGTCATCTGCAAATATTATAGGTATTGATGAGGTCCTTGGTGTAGGAGGGAGGTTGTTTATATAAATTATGAAAAGCAAAGGCCCCAGAATTGACCCCCGTAGAACTCCATGTTTTATTATTCCCCACTTTGAGTAGGTACTTTGAATTGAATTTGATGATTTTATTTCAATCTTTTGTTTTCTTTCTGTTAGGTAGGATCTGAACCAACTTAACATTGTTCCTCGAATGCCAAAAAAATGTAATTTAGTTAATAAAATGTCATGATTTACACAGTCAAAAGCCTTTGCCAAGTCACAGAATATTCCACCAACATGCATTTTTTGATTAATAGATTTCAACACTCTGTTAACTTAAAAGCTGCATTTGAAATGGAAATTCCTTTCCTAAAGCCAAACTGTTTTGGGACTAGTATATTGTTACTCTAAAAATAATGACTTAACCTATTGTGCATAAGTTTTTCAAGTACTTTAGAGAAAGTAGTTAGCAGTGAAATTGGCCTGTAGTTTGACATATTAGTCTTGTCCCCTTTTTTATATAGTGGTTTTACTCCTGAAATCTTAAGACGACCAGGAAAGATTCCTGTGGATAGTGAGTGATTAAAGATGTGAATTAATGGGCTACTCATTAGAGATGCACAAACTTTTAAAATTTTACTTGTTATTGCATCATAACCTGAAGAGTTTTTTGTTTTGATGGAATGTATTATACTTTTTATTTCAGTTTCAGTGTTTGGAATGGTTTTAATACCAGGGAATCTACTGTCATGCTCACATTCTCACTCACTACTGTCACACTCACATTCTCACTCACTACTGTCATGCTCACATTCTCATTCACTACTGTCATGCCCACATTCTCACTCACTACTGTCATGCCCACACACTCAGGCTTACAGTCCCATTGATACTGATGCCCAAACACAGAATTATACAGAAATGGAGAATTTTCCAGACTGAAAGTTACAAATCAGCTGAAATTCTGATAAAAATGCAGTGCTCTTTATGCATATTCAGATTCTTGTGGGAAATGAAAGAAAACATTACACAGGCCAGTGCCTGCATTTCCATCTTTGTGTTCTCATCTCGAAAAGATTGTGTTAAACAGGCTTATGTTTCCCTGTTGTAATGATCCAATCCTCTTCTCTATTTTCAGGTTTTCTAATATATGTTTTCTATGGCTTGAAAAATAGTGAAGAAGATAAACTTTCAAAGGAAAAGAAAGAAAGCAGACTTCATACTCTTGAAGATGGTTCTGCTCGAGAAACCAGGGGAGAGGCGGTGCAAGCAAAATGCAATTATAAGTCATCGAGTGGTCCCCCTGATATACATCAAAACACAAAGTTATGAAGCTGTGATAAGGATTATCCATTTTTACTACGTGTGCTCTACGAATGAATTGCATGTGAAATCCTCTCATGGTCAAGATTTTATATGCAAACAGCTGTTACACGTTTCTGCTGCTGAAAGATATTGCATTTGTTAATGTGATATTTTAAGGCTTAAGGACAGATATTTTGCTCTTGAAGTTTGAGATGAACTTTCTTTTACCACGCCAAGACAAACATGTTCTTTGGAGTTTAATAAATAGGAATTCCTCAACATGTGAACAGAGCTGTTCATGGGTCTGCCCTTGGGTCTTTGTACGGAGTGGGTTTGGACAATAATACTGATGTTTCACAGCTGCATGCTGCCTCTATCTTAATGGCCAATTGTGTAGGGTGAATGAGTGTTCATGTATATACAAGTTTTGGTCCAACAGACCCCTGGGGGGGGAAGGGTTGGTGCTGATGACCGGTCCTGGCCAATGGGGACAGTGGAGAGGGAGATGTTATTTCATTGTTAATAATAATCAAAACTACTTATTTACTGTCTTTCTACTGTGTAGCATAATTTACATATTAAATTATTATAAATTAAAGAAAGTATTTAAAATGAACTAAAAGTTATCCTGAGGCTTGCTTAATTAAGTATCACACCACAAATTTATATCAGGAAGTGGAGGTACAGCTCCATCATTCTTAATCTTGGTACTAGATGGAGGTGAGTGGCCAGCTTCATGCCCCTTCTGCTCTATCCCCAAGCACACAGCCTCCTGATACCTGTTTTATAGGAGTCTGGGTGGGCGCCAGATCCAGTCTGGACACTACAGAGAATGGAAAAATCTCTTGCCCCTGCCTGTTGCTGTACCGACTGGGCACTTCCAGCTCACAGAATAAAATAATTACCCTACAAATGTATATTAATGCAATTTAAGGCAAACTAAAAAAATAGTATTCTAAATTGGGAAGTGTTTCTAGTGGTATATAAGCAGTTCTGGGAGATGAACTGCCCATGAAAGCCTTAACTCATGGCTGCTCTGTTGTTCAGATCCAAATCCCATGGGCATGTTTTCTGTGGGTTATGTTGAAGACTGTGTCAGTATCCCACATTTACCAACTCAGTTTGATGACTTCTTGTACTGAATTTACAGGTCAAAGACAAAACCATGTGAAAAGTATGGGCAAGTTTCTGTAGAAAGATTACAGTCTTCTGAGATGTGTCACCATGAAGTCTGGTACATAGGTGCCAAAGTTTAAAAGTGATTTCCTGCCTCCATATTCTACACAGAAGGGCCCTCTAAAGTGTTGGTCCATATTTACCAAACTACTTGATGTCACATCCTGGAAGACCATAATCTTAATATTCACCACCTCAAATCTCAAATGTGTAAGATTATTAATTTTATAAATCACTAGGGACAGGCATTTTCTGAACTTATTACAGCAAACTCCTTGTTATCTGGCATGTATAAGGAGGCATGAGGAATTCTAGCTTCATGAATCTGCCAGCTGTATCAGAAATACTTGTAAGAATTACAATACAAAATGAGAACATTTACATTTATTTTTCATTTCATGGATGCAATCATCTCTTTAGTTCTTGCATGGGAGTCTTACTAGGTGACATAATGGATTGGGGGATGAAAGATTTCAGATGTATTGCAGAACAGTTACAAATTCAGCTACCCGTTATTGTAATGGCATCCACATGACAAAGGATGATTGGGCAGCTGGGAGAACTACTTCATCTCAGGTGAACATGTCTATGTTCCAACTTTGTGTTTGGGGTAAGTTTATCAAATTTTCCAGAGGGACATGATTTTCTCTGCTTGATACTTGCTTCATGCTGGTTTCAGTACAAGGATCTTGAAATCCAGCCTGCCATTCATAGAACTTAGAAAGAAAGGTAAGTTCTTCTGTTGCCTAATTTCAGTACTTGATAATTCAGAATCTTTATGGTGGGCACAAAATATCTTCTATGGGTGCTAATTCTGAAATGTTTTCCTTTCCCTTCTAAACCATCAGATGTTTTTTATCTTAAATGTTTTTCAGTAAATAATGAATGTCAGCTAACTTTATTCAATCACTAATCTCTCAATATGACATGTGGTTGTAAAATTCAAGTATACAGAGACTGTAGGAATGTTTTTCTGATTAAAATTATGAAGCTTCAATACAGACTTTATGATATATATATATATATATATATATATCTATATACGTATATAACCTGGTTTTTGGAGGCAATCACTGAGAGATAAGTTGCATGCGTCAATGGAATTGTTGATACCTCTTTTTATCATGAGTTACAATTGAAATGTTATCTCTAATCGGTGTTTTGTCAGTATAGTGACAGATAATTGACTATCATGAATTAACTATTGTCATATGTAAGTGCAACACAGACTTAAATATTCTTTTTCAAAAGCATAAATAACATAAAATATTGCTGTCACAGTGAGCTGACTTAGTCTGCTGTGTGTTGTACAGATTAAAGGCTTCTTTCACACTGACAATGAGCGCGATAGTTAAATTTCTTCGGAAAATGAATAAGAAGAAAGTGTTCCAGGAATCAGCATTGGGTGAGACAAAGCTGGCACGGAAGCTGAATGCACTTGATCTTACTGCATTGGGTGTGGGAAGCACATTGGGCGTTGGGCTGTATGTGCTGGCTGGTGAAGTATCAAAAACTGTTGCAGGCCCTGCTGTGGTATTGTCATTTCTCTTGGCTGCTGTTGCTTCTGTTTTTGCAGGTAACTGAGGGCCTATAATTGCAGTGTTATGGAAAAGCGGGTTAACCCTTTGAAACATGAAAAGAGTGGGGTGGGGGGGATAGTGTGAGACAGTACATTTGGGGGGATGACAAATTTTTCTACTTTTAATAGTTTCCTCTTCTTTCTCTGGTAGATTTATATTTCACAAATGGTAAATATTTAGGAAGTGAAAGAGATAAAAGGTTAGACTGTGGACTTTGTTATGACCAGAGGAGAGAAGCAGAGCAGGACTTTTACTGTGTATGATTGGAATTGGTTTTGATATTAATGTTGGAAGGGTTGTATTAGAGTGAAATACTGGGAGGGTTATATTGGTGGCGAATATTTAAATTTTGACCCTTTGAGTTTGATAGTTTAATAGACTATATGGTGTCACAACCCAGAAGAAAACATTTAGATGGTGTTACATTCCATAATTCATAATTTATTTACATCCATAAACTGTTACACAAGTACAATTGGACAAGTCAATTTAAATAATCTAAAACACTACAAGTCAACAACTCCTAAAAATGTCCAAAATGATACACAAGACTAAGAACAAGACAATCATCTTAGGATCATCATCCCCTCGCTGAAGCTAGCAACTTTGTTCATTGTTCATTTATGTCAAATGTCAACTGCGGATGACAACCCAAACATTCCAATATAAAGCAACACATACATTTATACCATCTATATATGTACATCCACACCACATCAGAACCAACTCAAGCCACCAAACTACCATCCATAATTGTTACCAAAAAACTCCTGCAGAGAATAAAAACAGTTTTGTAATAAATGACTTCTTAATTTATTTTTAAAAAACTTTAAAATTTTGTATTCTTTTTAATTCAGGGGGCAAGCTGTTATGTATTTTTATCCCCACGTTAATTACATTTATTTTGCAACAAACAGCGTTGTATGTTTTTACATACAAGTCCTGAATGTACCAAGATAATAAAGATGTCACAAAATATTTCCCAAATGGTTTAAATTCATGTCCGTACACTTGCAAAAAATGATAACACAATTTAACTGATATGTAATGATGTAGTGCCATTTTCAGTAATACTGACATCATTAAACAAATGCCACATAAGAAAAATACATCAAGTTGCTCTAATTCTTTCATTGCATGTATATTTATCAAGCAATCAGCCTGAAAAATCTTATCTGCTGGTTTATTTATATTTGATAATGTCTTGAGATGTAAGATTTGAGGCCTTCACGGCCGTAACTATGAAGAAAGCAGTCTTCTGGAATTTAGCACCGTGTACATGTGGTGTTAACCGACGTTTCGGAGGAACGTATCGCCTCCATCTTCAGGGTAGAAGAAAATATATAAAAAGGCCGCAAGCGAAGAGACCGTGAGAACCGGTAAAAGCTATACCGGTTCTCACGGTCTCTTCACTTGCAGATTTCTTATATTTTTTCTTCTACCCTTAAGATGGAGGCGATACGTTCCTCCGAAACGTCGGTTAACACCACATATACACGGTGCCAAATCCCAGAAGACTGCTTTCTTCATGTCTTCAGATATCCCCGATCTCTGGTTACAGAGTAAGGAACTTAAGATTCTAACAATGTTTTCACAGTTATGTTATGATAATTCTGTGAGTTATCTTCTTTGCTATTCCTGAGATGGAAAATATTGTAGTAGCAATGTGGTATAAAGAAGAGTTCGCTGAAGTATGTGCATTGCTATTTACCATATTCATAATGGGTTACAGGTTTATGTTATGCAGAATTTGGTGCACGTGTTCCCAGGGCAGGTTCAGCATATATTTATAGTTATGTCTGTGTTGGCGAGCTTGTAGCATTTATTATTGGCTGGAATCTCATTCTTGAGTACTCAATTGGTAAGTAATTTCAAACTTTCAATTCACGGGGAACAATTTTTTTTTGTAACAATTCTATGTCCTTTTGTGCATGAGCCTGTCTGAACAGATTACATGCCTAGAATAGCAGGTCCAATGAATGTGCTAGTTAAATCTGGTTCTTTGTAAAGAGGTATATTCTTCAGTTTTAAAGGCCTGCTCATCGCCTTCCTCCACCTCCTTTTTAAATATTCTGGTCAGCACAACTGTAAGTTAAGGGTCCGATAAAGTTATTGGGTAGTTCACAAAGCATTTATTTAAATTCATGGCTGATTAGAACTTGAAGAATTCTGTCTTGTGGGCTGTATATAACACCATGTATTCTGTTGAAAGTCAAAAAATGTTTCGAAGGAACATCTCACCTCAATCTTCAGGGTTTGAGAATAAGTGCTCTGGTTGTCACTTGCTCTCACGCCGCTTTCTTGCTTGGCTTATTCTTCGACCTTGAAGATGGAGGCGACATGTTCCTCTGAAACATCAGTTTACTTTCAGAGACTACATGGTGTTGTATCCTAGAAGATAACCACCACTGTGAGAACTTCATACTGTATGATTTGGAATTTGGTCTTCTCTAGGAGCAGCAAGTGTGGCTCGTGGTCTGAGTTCATACATTGACAGTCTGACTGATGGAGCAATGAAAAGGGCATTTAGTGAATCTATGCCAATGGATGTTGAAGTTCTTTCAATGAAACTTGCAGAATATCCAGACTTCTTTGCTTGTGGCATGACATTGCTCTTTGTTTGTAAGTAGAACATATTTTAAAAGTTCAGAACTAAATTAAAAAATTAAAAGCATTCATTGTTGGTCCTTATATGATCAACTTCCTACTTATGAGCTTCACTTGTAGATAATATTTTTTTAAATTCTCTCAAATTTCAGGTGCATTGGCATTTGGTGCAAAGGAATCATCAACAGTGAATAACTTGTTCACGTTCTTAAATATAGGTGTGGTACTGTATGTCATTATCACAGGAGCATTCAAATGTGAGTGAGTATTCTTCATTTCCTTCAAAGATTCTACATTTCATTTGTCAACATCAGGCCATACGCATAAACATTTCAACAAAGCTGTTATTTTACGCTTGTCATAAACAGAATGAATAAACATGTTCCACAAAACTTTGGGGTATGGTTACACACACTGAAACAATGAAAAAAGTCTGTATGAACATGAGTCAAAAACAGTCTTGTTTTGGAGCTATGGCCTCTTTGAATTTTAGAATATATAAAGGACAACATATCTCAAGATATTCCAGATATATTATAGTAGCATGGCTCATGCCTTTAACAACTCCTTTCAGAACATACAACTCAAATTTTCAACAACAAAGGAATTGAAAGCATCATTAAATCCCTTAAACCTAAAAATACACGTGGATATGATGAAATATCCTTTAAATTACTTAAAGTCAGCTCTGCTTATATTACCTCACCTCTAAATCATAGATGTAATACATCCCTTTTATCAGGGGTCTTTCCTCAATGCCTAAAGTACTCTAGCAAAACCATTATTTAAAACAGGTGATAGAATGGATGTTTCTAACTACATACCCATATCCATACTGACCTCTTTCTCAAGAATCCTTGAAAGAGTGATATATAACAGACTACTTGAACATGTAATTAATAACAACATACTAGCAAAAGAACAATTTTTAAGTTATGAAAAATCTAGCAACAGAAAAAGCAACATATGAATTGGTGTCCTTGTTAAAAAATTACTATTTGACCTTCTGGAATCTAGCTAAGGCACTTGACTGCATTAATCATGACATTTTACTGCTCAAGTTAAATTGGTATGAAATAAATGGTAAGGCCAGTAATTGGTTTAAATCGTACCTTGTGGATAGATATCAAAGGGTGGAAATAAAAGATGTACACTTTAGTCATCAGATAGCTTCAAAATGGGGTACAATAAGATATGGCATCCCACAAGGATCCATACTAGATCCTTTGCTATTTCTTCTCTATATAAATGACTTGAATTGAATTGAATTGAATTTATTTACATTCCGTAAATCCAGTACAGGTGAGACACCATAGGATATGGAACAAGTCAAGTTAGAATACATAGTAGCTATACAAAAATACAGTAATATTGCAATTAAATGAGGTAAACTTATAATACTTATAATACACATTAAACAATGATCAAGAAATTTATCAAGATTTATAATGGACTAAAATAAAATAAAATTTCCATTAAGACATTCATTCATTACTCATTCCATTAATCAAGTGCGTCAAATTAAAATGCATATAAAAGAGACAATCATTAAAAAAGAGACAAATAAAACAGGATAATTAAGAATAAATCTAAACCAATTCTGTTTGCAGACAATACTAGTATAATAGTTACCAACTGTAACACAACACATTTTATATGTGATATAATGACCGTATTCGAATACTTAAATAAATGGTTCAGAGTTAATAATCTCTAATGAAATTTTTATAATACCCATCCCATACAATTTACAACTAAAAATGGATTCCAAATTAACCTGGATGTAAGCTATGCTATCAAAACAATTTTTAAAGCACTTGACACAAAATTCTTTGTATCACTTATAGACAGTATACAAAAAAAAAGTGTTATTTTAGTCCGCAAGCGAACTATACCGACTGACCACTGCCTTGGAAATTACATACTGAAGAGGTATTACACATGCTAAGTGCAGCTTGTTATGCATTTAGATCTATTAAACCCTACACGTCTCAGGAAGTAATGAAAATGGTTTACTATGCCTACTTTCACTCCGCTGTATTGTATGGAATAATATTCTGGGGAAATTCTACAGATAGCACTAAAATCTTAAAAATTCAGAGAGGGCGATTAGAATCATCACAGGAAGCAAGAATAGAGATGTGACTCTTCAAATACACATTGATATATACTTTATTCATTGTTTCGGTGTGTGGAACCACATCTCAAAGTTTTGCAAAACATTTTTCATTCACTCGGTATATGTGCTGTAATATGCCAGTGGGCTTATTATATTTACTAACCAAATTAAAACTGTAATAAACATGAGTATAAAATTATGAAATGCACCTAATTTCATGTAAGGGCATGAATAATTGAAATAAGAAAATCTTAACCAGTCACACTGAATGGAACTATTTAACTTTTTCATTGTGTTCTTATGTTTGCTATTTCTGTTTGCTTTCCCTTGGTGTATAAAAAAAGGAAAGACACCAATAAATGGATAACCAAAGGTATATGAACATCTTGCAATCATAAAAGAGCTTTATATGGCTTAGTTAAAAAATCAAAGGATGAAAGATTGGAATCGTACTATAAAAGGTACTGTATGACATTAACGAAAGTAATAAAAGAAGCTAAGAAATTGTACTACCAAAAACTTATAAGTAACTCGGAAAACAAAATACAATTAACCTGGAAGATTATTAAGGAAGAAACTGGGAAAAGGAGGGGCCCAGATAATATAACCAAATTGAAAGTGGGGAATAGCAAAGTAACTAATACTAAGGAAGTAGTAGAAGTATTCAATAAATACTTTACAACTGTAGCTGAGAATCTGGAAACGAAAAGTGCCAATAAAAATGAAGCTATTAAATTCTTAGACACTTTGAAATTTGATAAATTCCCTGAACTGAAGCTAATACCTACAACGGAGGTAGAAATAAAGAGCATACTTATGTTGCAAAAATCAAAAGATTCTACAGGATATGATGGCATTTCTAGTAAGATATTGAAATACTGTATAACTGAGATAAGTAAACCATTGTGTCACATATTTAATGCATCTTTTGAGCATGGAATATATCCTGATAGAATGAAATTTGCCTCATTAAGACCTATATATAAAACAGGTGAGAAGGCAATTATGGCAAACTATAGACCGATATCATTGCTAATAAGTTTTTCTAAGATTTTTTATTTTTGGAATCAAAATTTATAATAATCTTCCAAGCAAAATAAAACAGTTATCCGGAAACAAAAATCGATTCAAGAAAGCACTATTACAATTTCTCCATTTACATTCATTTTATGGTAGTGATGAATTTTTTGATTACAGGGTTAAAAAAATTGATAATTGATTTTATTGGGATTATATACATAAGTAATGAAAAGTTGAATTACAAATTTTATAATTTTAAAATTATGTTTACATAAATATTTTAACATGTATTATATTTTTTGTAATTATTATATTTAATTGTTATATTGGACTATTGTCTATATCCTGAGTCTTATGACCTTATAAAGGATTTTTGACATGTAAATAAATGATAATGATAATGATAATAAAGAGTGGTGTACAATAGGGTAAAGCAACACATATATACTGTGGGAACATCCCACATTATCACGCATTTCTGCAATTAATGTCTTTTGCACAGTTTGGATTTAGAGAAGGCAGTAACACAGAAATGGCAATATATACATTAACTAAGCATATTTTAGAAACGCTGGAAAGACGCAATCATTTATTGGGAATTTTTTGTGATTTGACAAAGGCGTTTGACTGTGTGAGTCATAGCTCAATATATATTGTCGATCTCTCTGTTTGTCATAGTAAATAAGGAATTGTTCACATTCAGCTCACAAATGCATAATTGTAGTACCAGATCTATCTGTGATCTGCATTATCCGCAAACTAGTCTGACACAAATCCAAAAAGGAATATGTTACATGGGGGTTACATGCTACCAAAAATCAAATCTATGTGTAATGACTGAAAAATTTTAAAATTCAGTTGACAACATTTTTATTGCAAAACTCTTTTTATACATGTGATGAATTCTTTAGTAACAAATTTGCCTAGAAATAAGGATAATAGCATAAACAATTTTAATATTGCATAGTTTTTATGTATAGTGATGTAAGACTGTTTTTTGATATAAATTTAACACATTTTTTTATCTATTTTAATGATTATAAACTGTACATATATATTTATATTTGTATTGTACTATATGACTGGTTCTATATCTATGTATATGGATTTATGGAATGTACAATGAATGAATGAATGAATGATATTCTTTTGAGTAAATTAGCAACATATGGCATTGGTGGTAAAATAAAAATATGGTTGAAGTCCTATCTGGCAAATAGAAGACAAAGAGTTGAACTCTATAATAATGAAAATGGTAAATGTTGTTCAAACTGGGGAACTGTCAAATATGGAGTGCCACAGGGCTCGATTTTGGGTCCTTTGTTGTTTATTTTATATATTAATGACCTGCCGTCAGCATTAGGTACTGACAACAAGTCATTGTTGTATGCCGATGATACAACTATATTAGTGTCAGGTATTAATATCAATGAAATTCAAGAAAGGTCTAAACTTACTTTAAATTCCTTAAATCAGTGGTTTAAATACAATGGCTTATCCCTAAACTTGAGGAAAACTAAAGTGTTAAAATTTGAAACAATCAATCGTGACAATGTGCCTGTACATTTAAAGTTTAATGATGAATTATTACAAGAGGAAACTCATATTAAATTTTTGGGCATTGAAATTGATAAGTGCTTGAATTGGAAGACACAAGTTGAATCATTGTTACCCAGATTGGGAAAGGCATGTTATGCAATACGAATTATGAAAATATATAGTAATGTTACAACACTTAAAATGATATATCATGCACACTTTCATTCACTCATGAGATATGGAATAGTTTTTTGAGGTAATTCGTCAGAGGCCAAGAAGATCTTTCTCTTACAAAAGAAGACTATTAGAATAATAAAGGGGATGAAACATAGAGAGTCATGTAGGCCAGCATTTATAAAGTTAAATATATTAACATTGGTGTCTCAGTATATTTTATCTTCGATGACTTTTAGGATAAATAACTTGGAATATTTTACTTTCGATTATTCAATTTATGAGAGACCAACAAGACACGAAAGAAATTTACATGTCCTGCAATCACATCTTGCAATGAGGCAGAAAGGGGTCCATTGCATGTGTATAAAAATATTTAACAGTCTGCCTGGATATTTAGCTAATTTAGTACATGATAAAAAACAGTTTATAAATGAAATAAGAGATGTCCTAATACATAATCCGTCATATACTGTTGATTAATTTTTGCTCTTCTGTCGGGATCAACAGCTAAGGAATAGAAGGGGAGTGCATGCTGACCGATGTCCCGCATTAGGCATCAGTATAGACAAAGTGCAAGTTAAGGAAGGAGAATTATGATGTATTGCTAATTATTTTGTTGGTAAAATTGTATGTAATCATTGTATCTATTTATCTGAGGTATTCAGTTTAGATTTTAACTATGGTTGAATTGATGTTTCTGCGATTTTATCTATGATTTTCTTGTGACTGTTGTTTGACAGGTTTTATATTTGGTGCCAGTTGCACACTTGTGAATACTCTGAAACGCTGATGTATGTATGTATGTATGTTAATTTGATAATGAACTTATAACGGTCAAAGTTTGTAGCATAGTAAGTGACAAGACACTGTATATAATTTGTACAGAGTTATATGCAGGAATTTTTTGTGTAAGATGGTGCCATATATATAAAATGGAGGAAAGCACAACATTGTCCTCAGGTATAATACTGTATGATATTATGTTTATGAAGTCTATGAAATACACAGATGTGTAACACATTATTATTATTATTATTATTATTATTATTGTTGTTGTTGTTGTTGTTATTGTTATTATTATTATTTTATCATATTCATCGATCCATTCACGTACATAACCATTATTTTCAAGTTTCAAATATACTACAGGACTGAAACACTGCAATTTCAGCAAATGGAGAAAACTGGACTCTCTCTAAAGAAGATCTGCCCTCTGGCAATTGGGGTGAAGGTGGGTTCTTTCCATACGGGGTCACTGGAATGATAAGTGGTGCAGCCACCTGCTTTTATGGATTTGTGGGTTTTGACTGTGTAGCAACGACAGGTGAGCAAATTTTGTGTACCTAAATATGGCATCACAGTCTCCAAACAGCAGCATGTAGTGTGATAGTTATAATAACCTGATTGTTATTTGTATATATGTTTCATTAGTTGTTGTGTGGACAGCTGGAGTACCATTGACAATTATACTCAACAGGATGTGAAATATAAAATAATCATATAGTTGTTCGCTTCCTGTAGCATCAGATTGTCCCTTAAATATACATCTGAGCTACAACACACAAGTGTTATCTGTTAAATTGGGATTGTACTGAAGATTCAGTATTCTGATATTGTAATGGTATTACTGCAAACCACCTTGCAGCCTTACTTTGCTGTAGTGCTGGTGGAAAAACTGTAAGTTATTTAGTGTTCTACAGAAAAGTTTAGAAAATATGCAAAATATAACATTCCCTGAAAATGCAGATACATTTTATTATGATGAAGATATTAATATACAATTCATGAAATTCTGTATTATCATCAGGTGAAGAAGCAAAGAATCCCCAAAAGGCAATTCCTATAGCAATTGTGGCCTCACTGACCATAATATTCCTTGCCTACTTTGGAGTCTCAGCTGTACTCACTCTGATGGTCCCATATTACCTTCAGGTAAGATAAGGTTTATACACGATGTTGTATTTTAGTGTCCTGTTGCACTGATTCATATTCATAACATGTATGTATTAACAGTCTTCAACTGCATACAATCCCATTTATAACTTTTACACTACATGTTTCGGCAGTATGCTGCCATCTTCAGGTGTATTGATGCGTCAACTATTTCACTGCTTGCCTTTATATGTCCATTTACAAATAATATTAAATTTATATATGTCCTTAAGAATAAAGTTTATGTATTTAAAACTTAGAGATAATAGGTTTTAATCATTTTTAAATACATAAACTTTATTATTATACAAGGACATATACAAATTTAATATTATTTGTAAATGGACATATAAAGGCAAGCAGTGAAATAGTTGACGGATCGATACACTGAAGATGGCAGCATACTGCCGAAACATGTAGTGTAGCAGTGGTAAATGGGATTGTATGCACATGAAGACTGTTAATACATACACATTATGAATTTATACACGAATTATGGAAACTTCAGTAAGTAGAAGACAGGAGTGTACATCTCAATTCATTAGGAAGTTGGATCACAAAAGAACCTTAAATTTGAACTATGTGACATTTTTTTGGAACTCTAGATTCATTTTGAACATTTGACATAGATGATATGGAATATTGAAAGGAGAATATTACAGATTTCTACTTTTTTGCATAATGTTGATAAAGATTATACTTTCCTCTTTCAAAGGAAAGTTTTATCTCTAACTTTAGAACAGATGGAGGCATTTTCAGGAAACTAGGTATGAAATTCATGCACTGAGGGTTGCCAAATGTGTAAACATGCTTAATCACTCACCTTGGCAATACAGAGGTGGCATACACAGTACAGTTATTTGAATGCCAATAAATGTAACAGATATTTTTAATGTCTTATGACATAGATCTTTAAGGTTATTTTCATTGTAAATAAGAATAGAAACATGCAGCTTGAACAGTGTGGACAGGTTTGAACTGAAGAAGATGAAACATAGCTGTTGGGGAAATGGTTCTGTAATTTATTCTTATTTGTTCACACTGCACTTTTAAGTATAGGTGCAAGGAAATTTAGTCCTTTTGAATATTTTTACTTTTATGAGACATGAGGTTCTGACAGAAATGAATGTTGTCACATGGTAGAGTGACTATAAATGGGGTTTGGATTGTTAAACGGATTTATTGAACTCTTTCAACTCTTAACTATGAGTAAGAATTATGCTGTCACTGTTCTACACACTTCACAAATCACTATGGGACACACTAGGTCTTCTCAGTCTGTTGTAGTCTTCACTAGCCGTTGCTTGGTAGTGGCTTCCATGGTGGATGTTCCCCTTCCTCTGGGTTCCTGAACTGTCCCTGGCCTCAGCTACCAGATTCTCCTGGCAGCAGCTCACAACAACTGAACCCCAGCAGTTGTCTAAACTAACTCACTAATTCATCAACCAACTGACTGACTGCCTCCAGACTATCTCTCAGCTGACTAACTCTCTCCACTCATTTGTCCTGCTTATAACTTTTAGGCACCAATCATGTAGAAAACACTGCTCCTCTGTTGCAGTGCAGTTGTTGCTGTGGAATTGTTGCATTCATGTCTGTTGGCAGAACTGTTACTTAGAAACAGCTGTTGTATAGTTGCTTATTCCGCGGTCATTGCCTAGCAACAGGTATACATTTCACAATATTAAGATTAGTTTTCTGGAATATGATGCCATGTAGTTTGGTAGATAAGTAACAACTTTTTCACATCACATATAAATACGATATTTCCTAATTTAAATGAAATGGATTTTAAAATCAATAACCTAGTTAGTATTAGTTGAAATTTTATAAACTGTCTAAATTTAATTTTTAATTTAAAATTTTTACAAATCTGCTAGGGGCATCGTCCAGTTATCCAAACGATAGAGTTCAATCTCACTGTCTTTGGATTTTTTACTGTAGTGGCATGGATGTTAGCATGTTGTTAGCAGTATGTAAGTATGTTGTTGTAGTTATCATCTGCAATATGTAAGAAATATATTTAAACTAGGAAATATCACGTTTATGTGTTATATGAAGAAGTGGACATTTTATACAGTGGAACAGTCTTGGCGTAGCTGAGACACCTGATGATGGCTGTTTGCAGCCGAAACATATTGTGAAGAAGAAATAGTTGCATTGTTGATGGAATTATATTGTGTATAATAGGAGATATATTAATGTAACAGATGCTTAAATATAATATTGTAATCTTAATGTTACCTTAAACATCTTGTTTGTGTAATTCATTTTTAAGTCACTTTTACAGGATGAAGATGGCCCAATACCTAAAGCATTTGAGTATGTTGGCTGGCCAGCTGCTAAATGGATTGTTAGTATTGGAGCCATCTTTGGCCTCCTTACCAGGTATGGTCCTTATTATGTTTTCTCATATTGTGATGTGTAAGGGTCAAGGAACAGCGTCCAAGGAATGTTTGGAAGTGTTCTTTGTCTAAAATACCATAAAATGTAACTCCCATTACTGTGCCTCAGTTTAAGACTTGCTTCATTGAATTATCATAATTTAATTTGATGCTGAGTATTTCCACCTTAGAAATTATTTCTGTTGTGGAGTATGAATTGTATCGTAAATGACAGACTTAGGGCTTCTGAAGAAGGGTAATGAATCTTATTCTATTCCCTGGTATGGGCGGAGAGTAATACCATTTTTTCCAGTCCTGGACCAATTTAATCTGCTGTAAATTGAAATATGCAGGTTGCACTTCAAGCTTTCAATTATTTGCAAAGTAATGCATTTTACTGTATTGATGAATTTGTTGAGCATGCAAGGGGCTCAAAAGCTGAGTTAATAAATGGTTTGTATGCATGAATTATAATTGTTGAGACTTGCTTGTTGTAAGTGTAGTAGTATGTATGATGTCTGTTTTTGTTATGAATTTTAATATTTTATAATGTAACTGGATGATATGACTTGCCATTGTGTGTGGAATGGCAAGGTGTGAATTTGACAGTGGTTTTCCCATGACCTATGTGTGTTGTCCTGACAACTTGAGCTATCTGTGAGAGGCCTGAATATATATTTTACTGGACAAAGGACGAATGATGTGTAGTCATCATGAATTTGTAATATGAGACATGTTTTATATCCAGCCCTACGGGGAGATGATTGGATCCATGAAGTGAAAAATAAATGAATGAATGAAAGGTTCAGTGTTAGGTTTTCACTACCAGTAAGGCTGAGAAGTCAGAATCTGGGTCAATTTTTGTAGGCCAGTTTGAATTTTATCTTAAGATTATTATTGAATGAAATATGGGATAAGCAAAATTATTTTTTGAGCAGATTTGGTATGTAGACTATGAACTAGTTTCAGGTAGTTAGCCAATATAAGACAGTAGTATTTTTGACTCATTTCATTGGCTCCTGTAGTTCAACCTTATGCTTTAATCTTAGTTTGTTGGTCTCAGATATCTCTCTGAAATGTACACTAATAGTAGTATTAGGCAGAGGGAAGGTGATGATTGCAATATGAGAACAAATGGAGGATCTTGGAGCAGATACTATGTTTCCATTGATTCAGAAAGCTGTGATGTTGGAGGGTTGGATGGTGAACAAAACCAAAAATAAATTCTACACAGCATTGTATCTGAGAAGACTGTAATCCTTTCATGTTCTATGCTCTCTACTAAACTGAATACAACATAGATCAGGAAATACATTCCAAAGAAGTAGATAGAACTAATATATGTAGATCTTCAAGTAGACCAAACAAGTCCACAATCTCAAGAAATAAAGATTTTTTATGGTAGACACAAACAGACCTAAATGTTCAAGGAAAAGGGTTAAAAGGAGTGATGATTTAAACATCCCCCTCAGGATATTTCATCAAAATATAAGGGGTTTGAAAGATAAAATTAATGAGTTAACTCTATCTTTAATAAATGAGAAACCTAGTATAATATGTCTATCGGAACACCATTTAAAAGTCCACGAGATGGAGGGAATTCACATACCTAACTACAAATTTTGCGCAGGCTATTGTAGGAAGAAGCACAAAAATGGAGGTGTTTGTATATTCATTAATGAGGATTATAATTTCACTGTGATTAATGTTCAAAAATTTTCAAAAGAAAAGGATATTGAAATAGTAGCTATTAAAACAGAATTTAATAAAATAAGGATAATAGTTTTATGTATATATAGATCCCCAATAGGTGATTTTGATCTTTTTATGGTCAAACTGGATTTTATCCTTAACTCTCTCCAGAAATCTAATGTTGAATTTATAATATGTGGGGATTTTAACATTGATTATTTGGAAAATAATAACAGAAAATCAAAACTAGAAGTTTTACTAAGTACCTATAATCTTAAAGATAGTGTCAAATTTCCTACAAGAATTACTAATACTTCGGCCTCGCTAATAGATAATATATTTATAGATAATAGACGTAGCTATAGCATTAAGCCATGTATAAATGGGCTATCGGACCACGATGCGCAGGTCATTACTTTCAAGAATGTTCCTGTGCCAAACAAAGTTCTGGGCTCTACCTTCATAAGAAGTATAAATAAGAACAATTGTGAAGAATTTAAAAAATTATTAAGTTGGGAAAACTGGGAAAACATCTTTGAAAATAATAATGTTAATATTATATTCAACAATTTCCATAATACGTACCTAAGATGTTTTTATACCTGCTTTCAAAAAAAAAAAGTTGAGCACAAGGATTATAACAAGAAATGGATTACACAGGGAATTAGGATATCATGCAGAAGAAAAAAAGAACTTTTAGTGCTAAGTAGACAGTGGGATGATCTAAACCTTAAAATATATTACAAACAATATTGTAAAGTATTATCAAAAGTGATTATTGCTGCAAAGAAATTACACTATAATAAACTTATCTCTAGATCCAATAATAAAATGAGAAGTACGTGGGAAATTATAAACGTGGAAAAAGGGAAAACAAAAAGGGGCAATTGTGTTCAATCTTTAATGATTGAAAACAAAGTAATAAGGAATCAGAACAAAATTGCAAATGCGTTTAATAAGTTTTTCATATCTATAGCTGATTCTACCATCCTAAATAAGAATGTATGTTCAAATCAGGAACTACCCACCCCAATTGACTACTTGATTGATTCATTTAACTTGCCAGTCAATAAGATGAAATGGCAATATGCCTCTACTCAAGAAATTACAAGAATTATTAAATCGTTAAAGACAAAAAATTCGACCGGATATGATGAAATTTCAAATAGAATCATAAAAGTAAGTCTGCCATTTATAGTCTCCCCTCTGACTTACATCTGTAATAAAATTCTCAGTACTGGGGTTTTCCCGGACAGACTGAAATATGCCACAGTTAAACCACTTTTTAAAAAAGGTGAAACTCAAAATATGGCCAATTACAGGCCCATATCACTGCTAACTTCCTTTTCTAAGATAATTGAGAAATTAATGTATGCAAGACTTATTAATCATATAGAGTCAAATAATATATTAGCACAGGAACAGTATGGTTTTAGGTCTCACTCCTCAACTGAACAGGCAGCTTTCTCGTTAATGAACAGTATCCTATCTGCAATGAATAATAAGTTAATGGTAGGAGGCTTATTCTGTGATCTACAGAAAGCATTTGACTGTGTCAACCACAAAATATTACTAGAAAAGTTAATATTTTATGGAATAGAAGGGAAATTTAAGTCACTTATAGAATCATATTTAATGGATAGATACCAAAGAGTTGTAATAGGAAACAAATTCGACAGTAGAAGCTTTTCCGAATGGGAAGTAATCAAATGTGGTGTACCTCAGGGATCAATCCTTGGCCCACTATTTTTTCTGTTTTACATTAATGACTTACCTTCAATAAGCAATAGGAAAAATAAAACAGTACTTTTTGCAGATGACACAAGTATTATAATAACTGACATAAATAAATTAGAACTTGAAATTAATCTCAAACAAACTTTAAAAGATATTGACACATGGTTTAATGCTAATTTACTTGCTTTAAATTTTAAAAAATCTCAATATATTGAATTTCGTTCCAAGAATTGTTATAATATTACCCCAATGACCATAGATGATGAAATAAAATTACCAAAGGTGAAAGAAACTAAATTTCTAGGACTAATTATTGATGATACCATCACATGGAAACAGCATATTAACTATGTTATCAATAAAATTGCAAGGTCATGTTATGCGTTGAGAAACATAAAGCATTTTATCCCATTAGATACATTAAAGGTAATTTATTTTGCACACATTCACTCCATTTTAAGCTATGGCATAATTTTCTGGGGTAACGCTTCCTATGCCTGCAATGTCTTTAGACTACAAAAGAAGGCTATGAGAATTATTGCAAATTTTGGTCCAAGAGAATCATGTAGACATCTATTTGAGAAATTCGAAATACTGTCATTCTATTCCCAATTCATATACTCATTGATTTTATTCACGATTAATAATGATCATCTTTTTAATGCTATTACCATGATTCATGAACATAAAACCCGAACCCATAATAATCTATATTTGCCTTCTGTGAACCTGACAAAGTATAGTCAGAGTGCATATGTGGCGGGTATTAAAGCCTTCAACCATTTACCTCAAACTTTAAAAGAGTTGACTTTGGATGTACCAAATTTTAAGAGAGCACTAAAGAGATTTTTACTTCATCACTCCTTTTATTCCATGAAAGAATACTACCAACAGAAATGGGTATAATGTGTAATGTAAGAGAACACACAGATTGTGACAACAAATGAACTGATATAGAAATATGTCATAAACTACAAATTATGTAATTATCCTGTTTTATTTGTCTCTTTTTTATTGATTGTCTCTTTTATATGCATTTTAATTTGACGCACTTGATTAATGGAATGAGTAATGAATGAATGTCTTAATGGAAATTTTATTTTATTTTAGTCCATTATAAATCTTGATAAATTTCTTGATCATTGTTTAATGTGTATTATAAGTATTATAAGTTTACCTCATTTAATCGCAATATTACTGTATTTTTGTATAGCTACTATGTATTCTAACTTGACTTGTTCCATATCCTATGGTGTCTCACCTGTACTGGATTTACGGAATGTAAATAAATTCAATTCAATTCAATTCAATTCATGATAGCATGGCTATTAAGACAAAATTATATGCACCATATGTTTTCCTTCTTTTTCCATAGCCTGTTTGGTGCATTGTTCCCGCTTCCACGCATCATTTATGCCATGTCATCAGATGGTGTTATATTTCGTTTCTTGGGGAAAGTTAATCCTCGTTTCCAGACTCCAGTTGTTGGGACACTGATAGCTGGAATACTTACAGGTTAGTATCGACCAATGAGAACGTGTGTAGATGCATTATATTTCTCTTCAGGTGGTTATTAACAAATTTGCTAAAGAAAGATACATATGAAATCCATAATAAAATCTTAAGAAATTATCAGAATTATCTCTCTGTGAACTTTGTGAATGTGGACTTGATAAACCCATGTAACAGCAAGACTAATTCTGATATAATTCTTTTTTATTCTTGAGATGGGGTGAGAGTGAGTTCCTTGGTACTGCAACTACAAATGGGCCTATTGTGCCAGCTTCCAATGATAGATGTTAGAATGGGGCATTGGTCGAATGATAACTGGAAAGCGAAACCCGAGTACTGAGACAGAAACCTGTCTCACTGCCACTTTGTCTATCACAGATTCTGCATGGACTTTCCTGGGGTTGAACTCGGGCTTCTGTATTGAGAAGCCAGCAACTAACCACCTGAACTGTTGCACAGGCAGACCTGACACTAATTCTAAAATGTTGATTTCTTTTTCAAGGAATGGTAGGGGCATCAGTGAATTGAAGGAATATAATTTTGAATCAATGGGTGTAACTATGCTTTCTTCCTTTTCAGCTTTCATGACTCTTATATTTGACCTCAAGGAACTGGTTGACATGATGTCTATTGGAACATTAATGGCATACAGCATAGTGGCAGCTTGTGTTCTGCTTCTAAGGTAAAGCAAAATGTCAGCATTTCACAAAGAAAATGACTGTCTGCTGTAGACTGTCATTAAACGTTACTAGTTCAAATTTCATCCGACTGCAGCTGTCCCAAAACTCTTATTTTCTCAGTCCCTTCCAGGCAAATATGACAGCTGCTTCACTTTTTTCGAGAATTCAACTTCAGAAAGTGTCATGCAAAGTCATGCCACCTGTCGTCACTGTACCCTACTCTGAGCCATTTCAACCAAATTCTCAATTCCTCAGACTAATTGTAATGCTAGGGAAATACATAGTTTATGGTTTTACATTAATTCAATGACAGTAGCATATGAAAATTTAGTCAGTGTCATGCCATAAGATGAGAGAGACAGGTTCCTCCAGAACTTTTATAACTGACTGTGAAAGCTCACCTCGAATTTGTTTACATTCATGAAGTTTAATTTTTGGTAGAGGTGAAGGTTTGAATTTGTAAGTAGAAAAATCTGCACACAGACCTAACCAGGAGTCAAACACAGATCCCTCTGAATGAGAATCCAGTGTCTTGGCCTGTGTCCACCAGGCTTCACTACCGTGAGAACCTCAAATCTGACAGTCATCAAGTGTTTGATGTCTGTTTAGAATATGTAGAGCAGCAAGCTAAGAAATGTGACCTTAAAGTTCTGCATTAGAAGAATATCCAAAATGAGAATTTAAATCTCATCCTACATGTTGCTTCTATCTAGAAATAAATAAGATACAAAGTGTGATATTTGATTTGGTCCAAAATAAAATAAATCTCAACCACTGCTATGTCTCGATAGATCCAGTACATATAAGAATATAACTTCTCTTTTTACTTATGTAACAAAGCAAAAATGCATGTGCAGGTATCAGAGATCTGATGTAGATGAAGATCTTGACCACAGTACTCAAGACAGTTTATGGAAAAATATCAAGGAAATTTTAATACAGATATTTAACTTCAGGAGGCTGAAGTCTCCTACCACCCTCTCTGGTGGAATTGTTGCTTGGGAGGTGCTGATATTCTGTGAGTATATCATATGTTCAGGTGCCTTAGATCTTAGTAAGACATTATTGCATGTATAAAGTGGAACTTGAAAATTTTCTGATCCAGAAAATTCCTGTATGAAGAACTATATGTTTAATTCTTAGTTTACAGATTTTACTATTCAGTAGCATGCCTTCATCATATCCTCTTGAATCCTTAATTATTAAATTTCATTTAACTAATTAATAATTTTTTTAGACTGCATATTTTACAGTGACATGGTTTCATTGTTTGGTCTTAATGATGTTAATATTAATGGACAGAACTGGAAGACTGGAGAACTCTTGACAGACATGGCTTTGTATGGTATCATAAATACCACAAGGAATAACAAAGTCCTGAACTCAGATATTCTTAGTGGAAGTCTCAATACCGCTTGTACAGCTTGTAGGTTGTCTAAATGCCGTTTCAGATATGGCAGAACTTTAAGTTATGTTTACAAAATAAAAACATAGCATTCTTTTTATTATATCAATGTACTCAGCAAAAAATTGTGAATTTCCTAACAGTGAACTTACTAGCTTTGAAACACATCTGTATAACACTTGGATGGACCACAAATAGGCTTATGTTACTCTGCTGTCTTCTCAGTATACATTTACATTACATTGCATTCCATAGATCCAAAGTTAGTCAAATGACTGTAGGGTGTGGAACATGTCATACAGAATTTGATGTCGACTTTTGCAGAAATATTCCCAGCTGCAGTTAATTTAGATTCAGTTTATAGGACGGTTCTGTAAAATGCTTGAATGGGTTGGGGACTGGCTTACAGAACTATTCCATTTTCCCTGCATGGTGTAAGTTGCTGATTTTCCTGTAAGTAATACATCACAATGTATTTTCCTGTATCAAATAATTTCAAGCCAATGGGTCAATTTAATTTATTTTCTCTTTTTTAGTTTTGGGGTCCTTGGCCCTCACTGCCTGCATCGTGCATGCTGAAGAGCCCTTGAGCAATTCTGAACCATTGGCAATTTTTGGGGTTGTCTTCTTCTCAGTGTGCCTCCTGTTGATCATGGTTTCCATTGGACTTCAGTCTCCATCCAAGAAAGAGCTCTCCTTCAAGGTAATACAAAATATTATTGTCTTCTGGAATGTGACTCAGTGTAGTTCTGGTCACTGCAATCACATCCCAAAACAGTAATCTTCATAATCACTGCCATGAGAACCTCAAATCTCACTTTACACACAACACATTTATTGAATTTAATCTAAGTTTTCCAAAGCTGTGAACCTGTTTGAGATTCAAACCTGATATTGTTCACCTTCTACTTTATTTAGTTTCTTGAGATTGAATCTTTCCATATCAAACGTTTACATAGCTCATTTACTTACTGCCAGTCTCTCCATAACTTCTGCAACCACCAGACAGTTATTAGTATCACAGTGCATTCCCATGAAATATCAGGCAACAAGTATACTTAAAGCCATCTCTTGCCAATCAAAATATGATCAGTCTGATTGTTCAACTTTCAGTCAGAAGTTGTCCAAGTAAATTTATGAATTTTGCAATGTAATTTGAAAATTGATTTTTTTCCATGGCAAAATTGACTGCTCTAACTCCATTAGAACTACATATTTCATGTAAACTCTCATTCCCAATTCTTACTTAGAAAATATCTTCTGTGCCTACTTTGGCATTGAAATCTAAATAAAATTTTCGTGTGACACTTAAGGAATTCATGGAATACACATCCTGTTTCCTACATGACTTTGTAAACACTTCTTTTTTAAATAAATAATCCCTTAGTAAGAGTGGTTACAATTTACTGGAGGATGTCATATGCTTTGTGTAGCATTTTAAGGCATGGCCATTGGTACTTCTATGTTGGACAGACTGTTGCAAAGAAAGCCAATATTTATCAAGCATGTGTGTGTGTGCGTGTGTGCACATGGGACGTGCATTTACATGATTGAGTTTAAGGAGGTCTGTCAATCCTGTGTCACGAAAAAATACTCTCATGTTTTGTTCCTTTTTAGGTTCCACTTGTCCCTGTGCTTCCAGGCCTCAGTGTTGTGGTTAATGTTTACCTAATGATGATGCTAAGTGTTGAAACCTGGATAAGATTTGGTGTATGGATGGCTATTGGTAAGTCCATTTTGTACAACTACAAAGCCTTACAACACACCATAACAGACTTAGTAGTACATGCAATCCTACTGGAAACTGTATGTCTACACTTAATTTTTTCACTATTTGTTTATTGTACAGTCTTAAATATAATTACCTAGTCAATGGAAGGATCCTCAAAATAAAGGGGAACGTTTAAGTAAATGAGTTTATCCAAAAACAACGAACTAATTTTTTTAAATAATATTCTAGTGAAAACTATAATAAAGTATTATGGATATGACTAATATTTTCTTCACTTCAGTAGAGTTATTATAGTACTAAGCTGACCATTCACTTCAATCTAGGATAGAGGTTCAGAATATGTAGGATTATAGCAACACTCCCTATATGTTTCCATTGCAGAGTGCTTAATTAAATACTGACAAATTTGATTTGCTTTCATAGAAAAGTCAGATTATTATACAGGAAAGTAGATGAATATGGTATAAAAACATTAACTTGTATGTAATAGTCGATACACCTGTGTCACCTTCTGTCTCCAAAGCCAGCTTTTCTGAAAACATTTCAGTTTACATATCCCTTGGTCTCAGACTGAGACTTCATATACACATGTTCAAGGGGGCTTGAAGCTATTGCAGCAATTAGCTCTTTGTAGGGTAGTGGTAAATTTGTGAAATGCTTACTTTAACGTTAACTAACATGACATTTCTCCCACAAAGTTTATATTTGGAGTTCCTTTTGTTGGTTTCCCAAACATCTTCAACTTACTTATTTTTGAAGTGTTGATGTGATGTCTTTCCCGAAGGAAAAGAACTGATGATAAAATATGATTCACACAGCTTTGATCTATAAAGGGCTAAACAACAAACTTTACAAAAATGTTTGAAGCGATTTTCAACTGAGTTTGCATTGATCATTTGATGGATTTATTAATTTTTGTAGGACGTTTATCTTTCCTGAGATTTAGTGTCAAAAGAGAATACTTCAATTGTAGTAATCCTGTATCACATTCATTGACACCTGGAACATGATACGAATCAAACTGTAGGTGCAAGAACACACACTAATTGTCTTAAATAATTACATTTGGTGAAAGGATGGGCCAACTAGTCCAATGAAACTAATTATGATAATGAATTATTTGTGTTTCAGGTTTTATAATATATTTTGGTTATGGAATTTGGCAAGAATGGCGGCTCTTAAGATTTATTAGTGAAGAAAATAGAAGAGCAGCAAGAGAGATAAATGATCTGTTTAGCATAAGCAAATCGGTACCAACTGTGTTAAAGTAGAGATGTCTGGGTGATGCCCAACATTGGGTACAAGATTTAGAGGCACAGGGTCAAGAAGATAAAGCGGACAAAATAAATATGGAAATTAAGAAGTCACAACAGGAAGATAAAGAAAGGGGAAAGGAAAAAGATAGGGAAAGTGAAAACTCGAGTGAGGGTGACCAGACAATGAGGACATGTGAAGGTGTTGTAGGTGGGGAGGGCTCTAAGAAACAACAAATGTCAACAGTAAGATGCAAAGAAGCAGTGAGCGCTAACTTAAATAAATGTAAAATATGGAATAATGTAATAGATACGAATAGCAAAGATAAAGAGATACCAAGTACAATGAGTGGAAATCCACTACAGAACCTGATTCATACATACATACATAGATACATAATTTCACAGATCCATTGTCCGGAAACCGGACTGGATATTGAATTCGTCAGCAAAATGACATTGCAAAATGCAGTCTAGTCTCAACAATTAAAATATTCAAGAATTATAAAATAAAAACACAATAATAAAATAAAAAGCAGTCATATAACAAATCTAGATAATACATAATCTTGGAAAGACAACAATAATGTATTATGCTTGCCTGTATGCCATGTATTCATCTACCGAATAAAATGCATTTAAAATAAGATAATCTTTTAGCCTTTGTTTAAAAGTATTAATATTGTCTTTCAAAGAATATATATTGTATGGCAAGTTATTAAATATTCTAATGGATGAAAAATGCACACTCTTTTGAATGGAAGATAATCTCACAAAGGAAACATGTAGTTTATTATGCCACCTAGTACTTAATTTGTGTATGCCATTATTCACCTGATACATATCAGGATTTTT